ACACACACACACACACACACACACACACACACACACACACACTTATTTATTTATTTATTTTTTCCGGAATTTTCATAAAAGTCCACTTTCATCTCTGAAGTATCCAATTGGCTTTTGTAATTTTAAAAAATCCAAGCGTAGTATTTTGCTTGTCCTTGTCTGGCTGATACTGTTAGTGCTTGATTTTTAAATACAATGACTTTATCTTACAGTGAAACCCAGAACTCCTTTGAACCTCTCACATTTCCAAACCATCAAGCCAGAACTGATTTTGCAGTGGGATGAACCAAAAGACTATGGTTCTGGCCCGTTAAGATATGAGGTCCGATACTCAAATGACACTCATTCTTCATGGCAGGTGAATACTAATGCTTAGTACACATTTTTTGTTTGTTGCTATATTTTGTGTGTAAATTGCCATTTACAATATTCAAATGACACCTATTCAAAGGGGCTCACATCGATATAAAACAGGTATTTGGAGGTACTTTTTCTAGTACCTGATCAATTGGGATTCCAAGTGTGCTGAACATAGGCAGTTTTACAGGGTGGCAAGGGGTGGTAGCTGCTACCTTCATCCAATGCCTCACCACCTCACTTGCCACCCTTATCAATCTATTAACACTAATTTAAAAAAAAAACATAATTGTTACTGATATTGTCTCTATAGACAAGTGTTTATCAATATTTTAATCACTAGCTTGGAATTCACTCCCACTCAGACCTCCGCTCCTTTCAAGAAAAAAATGGTAGCTTCCGATGCATCACCAATAAAAAAAATACTCATGTGCATTTTACGTACGCTGGGCACAGACAGTGGGGTAAGCTCTCATGTACTTGTGGTTGCTCTGTGTTAGCATATGTTCAAATAGTCTGTCAAGTCTGACAAAGTATGTGAAATGTAGTTAGTAGTATTTTTAGGCACTGTATCTTGTGTTTAATGAGGCGCCACTGCAGGGTCTAACTTTATTAATAGAGCAGACAACGAGGCTTGGTGCCTTGCAGTGATATTTTGTAAACAATATATTGTAACGTCTTCCGAGGATCATGGGGGATTTAATCAGTAACCTCACGTTTATTTACATGAACAGCTACAAAAAGGCCAAAGCTGATGACGAAACAAGCCACAATGAGGAGGCATACTTCTTCCCTCTCTCTCTCTCTCTCTCTCTCTCTCTCTCTCTCTCTCTCTCTCTCTCTCTCTCTCTCTCTCTCTCTCTCTCTCTCTCTCTCTCTCTTTCTCTCTCTGTGTGTGTGTATCTCGCTCTCTCTCGGCGCCTGCCAAAATTGACATCCTAGATGATAGTAAAAACAGTATATTTTATAATAAGTCGAATAATTTGAGTTTACGGAAGGGTGATGGTTCTGCCTTTTATTTTGAAAGCCAGTTCGCCTTGGACTGGCTATGGGCTCATCTCATTTTTCTAATAGCAGGTCCTCACTCCTTGCTCCTCTGTTTACATGCTAGCAGCTCCCACCAGAAATTGTATTCAGGAAGAACGAGATTGTCAAAGGAGTGAGGCGAGAGGAGATGGAATTGATTTGGGGTCATGAGACCTGTCGACGTGCCTCTCACTCCTCGATGTTGTCATTGATGAGACATGTCACAAATACTACACATCGTCTGTATGTCAGAATTATTACTACTGTATTACTACAAATGTCCACTTTATGTTTTATGTTGCAAAAAGTCGAGTATATACACTGTTACGCTTCACAACTCGTGCGATTGGTCTGTCTCAAGTGCATCCACACCGCCCGTTCAACCACCAATGCGCCCATGGTATATTTAAAATGACTCAGAAATACGTCCCAAAAAAAAAAAAATATGTGGCTTATACATTATGTCAAATGTGAAAAAAACTGTGACGAACCATCAAAACGTCTTTAATTTTCTTTATGTGCCCAAATGCATTTGAGCGAGAACAGCCCAATTACTGCAAACCTTCGAAACAGGTTTGGTTCGGTGTCGTAACCCTGAGCCATTGTAATCAAGGCTTTTTGCTATCAAGTACTGCCCTAAATAGAACAGACACTCATCAGAATACGCATATTTAAATTGAAATGATAAATAAATGACACAAACAGGGATTACCACTATTTCAAGTCCTGCGTTATTTACGGTACATGCCCGTTGTCATACGTCACCATCGAGGAGCTTACAGGACATGCCCAGAGGAGAAATCAGAGGTCCCTCTGTTTAAGATAGCCCATGGAAGCTCTTCGATGCTCGATCCTCGCAACTTGATGCACGTTATAGCTAATTGAGACGCTCCTTAATATGGTGATGTGAACAACTTCCGGGTCGTGTTCAATGTTTTGAGGAGTGAGGAACATTGCAATTAAGAGACATGAGATTTATATAACCTACACTTTTGGTTTAGCATTGGAAATATCTCAAAACTCCTGACAAAATAAATACAGACGCAGTGGGCATCACATGTTAAATGGTACTCAACCTAGATATTTTTTGTTAAATGTTTTGAAGGCCAACATAATAACCACTATCTTAAATTGGCTTGAAGATGTTTTGGAAAATATCTGATGGGCGTGCGTCTGAATGCGTGTGTCATAACCTTCGCCTCCCAATTGAACCTCCTGCCACCCTGTGTAAAGCTTTCTAGAGCTGCCAGTGGTGCTGAACCGGTGACATCAGTCACTGTTTGTCCTTCATTCATCACTTCTGGAATCTAGGTAAACAGGAGCTAGAAATTACCAAAATAAACACACATGCTGTTTGCTTACCCGATTGTGGTAGACGACTTGAGCTCTGGGTGCTGCACTATTATACTTCACCGTCTCCATTTACTGCAGCGCGTCCTTATTCTGGAATAAAAATGTGCCAATGTACTTTGGCCAGCTGCCACGTGCAGAGAAATAAATTCAGGAGACCCTCGGTTCTAAGAGATGTCTTAAATGCAGAATGCTTTTTGCAATTTGCTGCAATTATTGAGGTGCACAAAACTGATGGCCTCAAACTAAGGTGAGTAAAGCTGTGTCGTGAAAAAGTGACCTGACAGGGTTTCTCACAGGTCTAATTATTTCAATAGTCACTAAATAAAAGATTTTTAATTGACAGCTGACGATGACGTGACGCACAAGACTACATATTATTCATGAATCAGGTCACAAGGTCAACCACTTTTAGCGTTTGCTTTTATGGAGTGTTACTTGCTGACAGTCAGTCTGAGGGGCATTTCACATTCAGCATGCTGACATTTCCTGTGCAAATGTATTCATCCCAGAACAAAGCCCAAAATTCAGTGAACAAGATACAGTATTGTTGTCGTTTATTTGCATCTGTGTTTTTAACAATTCCAGGTCAAATGGGAACATTGTTGGCCTCATTTATGAAAAGATGTGATGAAGATGAGATTTCCTGAAATACTTACTTCAATGCATATCCTGCTACCGTATCACTCCTAAAACATCCTTTTTTTACTATCAGAGTAAGGCCAACTGACATAGCTCATCAGGCAGGTGTTTTTTCACCTCTCCCTGCTGGCTGCAGGTGGTGTCTACAGGTCTGGAGCGCCGACTGAGTCTGGATCTGGAGCCCGAAGTCAACTACACCATGCAGGTTCACTGCTCTGACCTGCGTGATCCTCCATTGTGGAGTAACTGGAGTGAACCCTATCACATCTACCTTGGCCGTAAGAAACACTTCTGTTTTGTTTTGCTTAATTTATTGGAACTTAACATTGTAAAGGTATTCAACACACACACGCACTCACGCACACACCTGTTTACTGTTGTTTGCTGTTTATTATTTGAATGATTTTAGTCACTGAGGCTGTGGTGAAGCAAACCACACTTTCAACAGTGAAGCGGACGTGTTATTGTGCTGTCATTAAAGTCAGAAATATTCACCTTAATTTCGGTGATATGATGCATTTATGGTCAAGTGAAAAAATCTCAAGGTGTTGTGTTGCATTCAGTCAGCTGGCTGCAATTCATGATTATTTTAATCATCAATTAATCTGTTGATTATTTGTTCAATAATTTTTTTTTAACATGTTTTAATTTGCACTCACTTCTTAAAAACAGTACATTATTTGAAATTGGCAATGCAGAAGATGCACAAACATAAATTAATAATGGTTTAGTTCCTGGTGTTGGTCCGTAAGATGTCTGAAATAAGATGTTTAGCCAAAATGAATATCATTGTTTTCCAAAGTAAAGGTCAATGTTTGCAAATGTCTCATTTTGAAAAAACACGAAGATAATCAGCCTGCTTTCATGAAGAAAATATTTACTGTTGAGAGCCTGAAATTCTGAGAATTTGAAGTGTAACAAAGTCTCGAAATGATTAATCGGTTATCAAAATTATTGTCAATTAATTTTATAATCAATTAATTAGCAATTGATTAATCATTGCACCTCTGCCTTTAGATTTGACATGTTGGGTCTGCTACCTTGTGCACACCTTACCTCAGAGGTCCCCAACCTTTTTTGCCCCACGGACCGGTTTCATGTCAGACAATATTTTCAGGGGCCGGCCTTTAAGGCCGGATAGATACAACAATATAATATGATATGACCTGCATGAAAAGTGTGGTATTTTTGAAACATAATAATAAACACGAATCATGACACGAGCAACGTCCTATCTGGCCGCAACACTCTCTGGTCGCTATGGTAACGTTCAAATGTGCCTTCAAAATAAGATACGTCGCAAATAAAAAGTGCATGAAAAATACGACTCACCATCACCGCTTATTATGCAGAGTAGGCTTGGTGCGTGTGAATGTCCCCTTGAGATAAAGCCGTATTTGAAATAGGATGCCTGATACTGTCTATTAAATGTAGCCTTATCTTTCTTGAAAGTCGTAGGTTCCTCTTCTGTCTCCTGGTTGGGCCTTTTCCCCTTTCCGAAAAAACTTTTCAAAGAAGTTTGTTTTTTATGCGGTAACCTATCACGTGACCAAGAAGCGCACATTACCCGCGGACCGGTACCGGTCCACTGCGCGGCGTATCCCTGCCTTACCTGACTAACATCCACATAAACTTCCCAGCTCCATTTCCCTCAAAAAGAGAATTTCTCAGTGTGTTGCATTGCATTAATCCAGTCCTTCTCAAAGAGTGGGGGGCGTGGTGCGATGACGGCGGGGTGGGGCGCGTGTGACTCTGGGGAACATGCGTTTTTTTGTTTTTTTTTTTCACGAAGAAAATAGAATAAAGTATAATTGCACATCAACTACAGCAGTTGGCAGTGGCACCCTCATTGTCAAAGAGTGCGCAAGGAGTATTAGCTCTATGGTGTAGGGTTTTGTTTGTTTGTTTGTTTTTGCACCGAGCAGGTGATATGAAGTGCAGTAAACAAAGCCTCAGAAGACAACATGATTTTTTTTTTTTTTAACGGGGATGAAAAGAAAGGCGGAGAGAGACGGAGATAATGATACAAAAGAAAGTCACCCGAAAGCTAAAACAAGGAAATATGAGGAAGCGTATGTAGTGCTTGGCTTGTCCGTGACTACAGTTGGAGACAGACGAGGAAAGATTGGTGTGTTGACTGTGTCAAAAAATGCTGGCTGCGGACAGCATGAAGCCAAATAAATCATGGCGCCACTTAAAGACATTATACCTCAATCACGCTGATAAGCTGCTGGAAAAGTTGTGTAGAGCAAAACGTGCTCCTCGTAGCCCTCAATCCTGACTTGCTCATTTTGTTAAAAAAAAAAAAAAAAAGTTTTGTCAACAAAAGTGTTTTATATATTGTGCTCCTGTGTTAATGTTGCTGGACTGAATTTGAATTTGTTATTATTTATTGGTATTATTTAATTGTAGTTTTCAGAATGAAATGGTGCAATAAATTGGTCAAAAATGTTTCCAGTTTAAACAAGGATTTTTTTCAGGCAAATTGATGCACTTAAAATCTTTTCTGTTTCAGATTAAAAAGCAATGTTAATAAAGTTATTCTTAATGCTGTCAAACGATTAAAAATTGAGATTAATTAATTATGATCTGGAATTAATTGATCTAATTAATCTATACAGTATTTTAATCTCATCTAAAAATTGCTGAGAAAACCTCTATTTTCATTTTAAATTCATTACATTATTGAGGCAGATGAAAATATTGACATCACAAAAAAAGTGGCATTATAAAGTATTTTATTGTTTTTAAACAGACTTGAACAGATGCAGTCCAAGCCATTTACTTTCTGCTGTATTTGTGCCTAGTCCCAAGTCCTACCTGCCACCTTTAATTTCAACCACGAGGGGGAATATCACTGTTTTGTTTGTTTTTGTAAATCTCCAAAGAATTACAAAATAAAAATAAAATCGAACATCAGGACCATAAAAGGTGCTTAGCTTAACATATCAAAAACAGTAGGAACACTTTTCTGAGCAATACAAGTATTGAACACTGAACTTGCTTTGGATAATAAAAAATAAAGAAAAGAGACCCTTAAATCACAGTGCTGTAAGTTAGCACTTCAGAAATAACACTGTTCATCATGAGAAAATAAAGTGCTGAAATAAACATCAACCACTTCTAATAGGCTACAGAGGACACATCAGCTATGCTGACTTCATGCCTCGCACGCGGGGTGTTCTCCTCGAGTTTAAGTTTGGCGAAGAGCTTGCTATGGCTTGCTATACGTATTGCTAACGCTTTCGGTGCCAACGTTAGCTGTGGCTGCATTCGCAACTGGGTGATTTGCATTGATGTGGGAGGCTAAACTTGAGCTGCTTTGGTGGGAAGCAAACTCCTTCTTACAAATTAGGCACAACAGTCTACCTTGATCAATAGTGCCGTCAGGGCGTTTTTCGAATGTAAATTTTCCATTCGTTGGGCCGAGAACTCCTCACCGCTGCTTACCTGGTCCTCCCAACTCCAATGGGAGCCTATCAGCTTCTGCTAGACAAGCATAAACATATGACAGCCAATCAATGTCTGCTTCAGGCTGTGACTGACCATTGTTTCCCACCCTCAACAACTTGGAACACAGGAAACCAAAACGTAAAAGGGATATTATAAAATTACAACCCACTGACAGAATCCATCATGTTCGAGATTAAAATTTAGATTAACGCGATTAAAAAACATAACACGCTAAATATGATTGTAATTAATTATTCACTATTAACGCGATAATTTGACACCTCCAGTTATTTTTTGCTGTAAGTTGAACTGTATTCCTTTTTTTTCTTTAATGGTAATAAGGATACAATGTAATGCAGAGGTGTACTTTTAACAATTTTATTGACAAATGATATTTATAGTGGCCACATAGAGTTGGGGGGGCACAAATTGTTTTCTTCTTGTTGGGGGAGGCGTAACAGAAAATAATTGAGAAGCACTGCATTAATCCAATGACCTCAATTATCTCCTAGGTAAATGTATGTCAACAGTCAAGCATTAAAATGCCTGTTGCTCATGAGCATTAGCCTTTCATAACACTCTGTCATATTATGGATACAATACAACAGACCTGCTACAAATAATACATCTTGGACTCATCTTGGAAATTTATCCATGTTGTTTTTACTGAATGCCCTTTCATAGTGGTGAAAGAAAAACGTAACAAATTAGACAGCCAATCGCTATGGCCTATTTTAAAAGACTAAAACTGACACATTCTCAGTCCTTCAGACTATATGAAAATATTTACAGCTGCTCTTTTTTAGTTTTATTTTTTATTAGCCACACATAGAACTAGCATCCATCCATCCATTTTCTGATCCGCTTATACTCACAAGGGTCGCGGGGCGTGCTGGAGCCTATCCCAGCTGTCTTCGGGCAATAGGCGGGGGACACCCTGAACCGGTTGCCAGCCAATTGCAGGGCACCTAAAACTAGCAATATACTGTAAATGCACCTGACAGCAGAAGAATAACAAAACATGTAAATTAAAATCTTTTTGCAAGTATACCATTTTTTAATTGAAGGTGTGACCAAACTACGGCATTCTCAAAAATTGTCATGCCTACGATCACTGAGTTTTTTTTATTCTGCCTACTTTAAGTTATTGACTTTATTGAATTTATATTTTTGTTGGCCTGTGTTTGCTGCCTTTATATGAATATAATGGGTGTCCAAATCCGCTCCTCAAGAGCTGCTATCCTGCATGCTTTAGAACAGGGGTGCCCAAACTTTTTGGACCGAAGATCGACTTTTCGATTAACCAACCTCCCGCGATCGACCCGTTACCGCGCACGTGCACGCACATATACACACACGCCATGATGAGAAACAGCCTGACACGGAGGCGTGTGATGCACTTTTGCAGCCTGTTAACGATGGTAGCTCACACGTACCGTTTTAAAGTGCTTCCCTCGGCCCTCTAGATTCCTATTCTTTGGCCGTGCCCTTGGTGAATTGTACACTAAACAAACTCAATAATGATAACGATAAAAGATATAGCGCAACAGCTCTGATCACAAGCTGCAATTGCAGACTGCTGAGCGCTAACAACTTCCGGTGACGCAGGTCATGCGCCACCGTAGGTTAAAGATTTACCTGCTTTATTTTATTTTATTTTTTTAATACTTTTTGTGAAAATGAGACTGATACGATGATTAGGGTGCAGTGTACATTAACACAAAAAAATGTGTTACTAACATGCACAAAGACACACAAATGGTTGTTTGTTTTTTTTCTCCTCTACACCCCTTGCGATCGACTTGGGACTAGTCCATTTACCTGCGTTATTTTATTTTATTTTTTTAATACTTTTTGTGAAAATGAGACTGATACGATGATTAGGGTGCAGTGTACATTAACACAAAAAAATGTGTTACTAACATGCACAAAGACACACAAATGGTTGTTTGTTTTTTTTCTCCTCTACACCCCTTGCGATCGACTTGGGACTAGTCCACGATCTACCGGTCAATCGCGATCGACGTAATGGGCACCCCTACTTTAGAAGTTTCCCTCCACCAGCACACCCGAATCAACCGATGAGCTCATCAGCAAACTCTCCAGAAACCTGATAATGATCCTGATTATTTGAGTCTGATATGTTGAAGGAGGGACCGGATGTGGACACCCCTGATATAATGTTTTTATGTTCAGGGGTGAGCTACATCCCTGAAAAGGTTTTGGCCCATCCGGGGGAGAACATAAGTCTTTACTGTGTGTTCAACGACCACAGCATCAATGCCAACTCTGCTGTGTGGATGCGGAACTTGGAACAGCCTCTGTCTTCCAGCCAGTC